AAATTATGCTGGGTTAAATTTTTGAAAACAAGAAGGGAAAAAATGTTCTACCCTCACCTCCCTTTAAATTGTTCTTGTTTTTATTGGGCTTTTTTTCTTTTTTTTCCTCATGCAAGATATTTGAATGATAAAAAACGTCTGTAACGAATGGACAAAAAAAGATTAAATGTTCCTACAACGGGGAGGGCGGGGCGGGGGGGGCGGGGGGGGGGCAACAAAAATTGGGGGGGAGGCATAGCCCCTAACGTTTTCTCGAGATAAATCGTTTTGTCAGCATCACGCTCAGGCGAAATAAAAAGTTGTAAAACGTTTCTTGAACAGGGTTATGAAAATGGGGGAGTGAAAGAGGAGCCCACAGCCCCACTTTGAAAAAAACTCCGCCTCCTCTGTAGAATAGTTCGTTCTGTTTTTAAAACTTGTTTTAAAAACCTAGTGTAGTATCGCGGGGCAGCTTTGACCTGTTAATAAAATGTGTTCATGGAAAATGAGGTAGCCTGCAGTGCAGGCGTTTTCTTTGAGCGCTCAATTTGCTCGCGAAAGTGCCGTGCTGAAACTTCCCTAAGAGAGGAGGAGATGGGGCGAGTCAAAGGGAGCGGGGAGGGGGCGGGAAGAGAGAAGAGAAAACGCCTGCCCGAAAACACTGTGAAAATGAGAAACACCCCCTAATTAGAAGCGCGTGACCGCTCTTCCGGAAATGAGTAGCCGACAATAACAAAACAACCAAACAGTCGCTCCAGTTCAAAGACTCGCATTGTCTTAAGAAAAACAAGCTGGAGTTTATCATTGTTTTTATCTTGACTGACTCACAATGCAGTTCTCCAGAGCTGATGAAGAAGCTGCAGTTCATTCTTCTAAATTCATCTCTGTAAATCGCTATCCGTGAGAGCTTAACATCCTGCAAACAATTTAAAAAACTAATGAGCTGGGCCCAGCGTGATAAAACATTGCAGGAAAACATCACATTCTCGGACTAGAAAGAAAATCGCTTAGTTATTAATCAGATCCTGAGGCACTTTGGACAAAAATAAAGAACCTAACAGCCTTACTTAGCGACAAAAAGAGCTTTACGCTTCAAAAGAGGTCAAAGAAAACGCTCTTGCATCAGAGGGCAAATCATGAAGACCAGAAATTCAAAAACCACAGAAAATCAATAAGCGTGTCAAGACCTCTCAGTGTGAAACAAGCGGCTAAAATCACATTAATTTGCTCTGTCAAAACATAGAACCCTCTAGAGCATAATCTACTCGCCAGAAAAAAGAACGTATTGGAACAAGAGGTA